CCTCACTTGTTATAACCTAAACAGGGTAATATTAAGTTTGCCACAAAGTTAGTAATCTCCGCAGGTATTGTTCAGATCGGACTACTACAGCATACAACGGTCAGACACTCTGACTGATCAAAATCAAATATTTTCGTTTGAAAAATTATCTTCACTATATTTTGCACTGATTATTGGCCAAGGCAACGTTACAATCTCCTAACAAATTGTTTAGATCAGCCCACTATAGTATATAGCTGTCATTGAAACGGATCGAACGAAATCAAAATAAATGTATATTTATAACATTTTATGCTATAGAAAATGCACATTTGAAGGATATTATAGCTTCGGAGCAGCCGAAGTTAACGTTTTTGATTGCTTGTTTTTATTTACTTCTGGCTCGTGTGGAACTAACACTTTCGGCTGACTAGTTGGAGTTGCAGTTATATCAGTAGTAAACCACTTAGTTAATTTCAATGCAGGGTATTTATATGGATAAGAACAGATTTTCTTTTCTTTCGGTTTATAGTAATTTTTATTTGAACGTCAGTAATCAATGTCGACTTTTTGTGATTCTTATTTAGTTGTTATTGTTTTATTAACAATAATGTGCCAATTGTTTTTTTATTAGAAAAGTAGGAAATGTGCATATTAGTAAACACATAAAGTATATGTCAAAAGTTTTAATTAGAATTGAATATTAATAATTTTCTAAAAGGCGATAGGGCCGAAAAGTTTCTTGGTTTTCCATAAGATAATAATTTGTAGACTTTTGAAAACTTTTACTGAAAATAATAACTGAAAGCTAGTTTAGATGCGTTTGTAAGGTTCAAGGGTAAATGTATAGTTTAGGTCCCCCAACTAAGGAGGCCTCAAAAATGAATTTTTTTTAAATCATCTTATTTTTATGCGAAGATTACAAATCCGTGAGCGGATCATGTATCTTACCACATTTCTCCTTATCATTGAATAGATCCTCAATAAGTTTCGGGCATTCATTGTCGATTGCATAACAGAACTGCTTGAATTTAACAAATCCACCTTTAGCGATGATTTCTATTAAGTTTGTAGATTGTTCCTGATATATGTCAGCGTCATTTAGTGAATTTAAATTTAATTTCAAATCTTCATCACAATTATTTTCACTTTGGTCGGTACTAGTTCCAATGATGCCATCAGTTTCACTAATATTCACAAGTGACGGTGTCACAGAACGATTATCACTTGGTGCGTTGTCGCCAATCACACTAGCACTACGAGAATTATTACTACTCCATCCAGCTGTACTGATGCAGCCTTCCTCAACTAGCACACCATCACCGTAACTAGTAACTGTGTTGCTGCTACTACCGCTGCCGCTGCTAACAGCGGTGCTTAATTTCCTTTTAATAACAACGGCGTTAGGTGGACCACTGGACGGAGCAGATGCTGCAGAATGTGTTTTCAAAAGCAAATCTTCCTCGGACTGCGTTAACACAGCGTTCTTAACCAGGATTGTCAAGAGGTCCGTTTCACACAAATCTAGCATTATCCGGTCCTTATGCCGCAAAAGCAGCGAACGAACTTCCTCTTCTTCCTCTTCCCGGGACATTTTGTAATAAACACTATGCGTCAAATCACAAAAATGGTGAAACTCACACACAGCTGCACAAATCAAACACAAACAAACAATTCACATGTACTTTTGCTTGCATTGCAAGCACACAAGAATAGTATATGTATGCATACATAGTATGTAAGATTCGTAGTATTGAATATTTACTCAACGTTGTATTAAAAACACGAAGATTCTTTCTCATGCGTTATTTCTGTTATGCACATTTTTTAATCGCATTTTTTTTCTTGCATTCTTACACAAATTGTACTAGGCAGTGACAATGTGAATAAATAATTTAATTTAATTAAAGATAGAGAAACGTATTTTAAATTGAAGTTAGCGCTCCAACAATCACACTTCTATTCTCTAGAAACTTAAACACCACACTGACCCAAACACCAAAATATCTATATCTGAATTACGTTCCAAACCGGCTTTCCTTGGGTTGGCACTGAAACAACAATAGCAAGAGCTAAGCAAAATATTCGAGCATAACAAATGGATTGTAATAACAAAGGCACAAATCAACACTAACAAAAAGAACAGAAAACCCAAATGTGAAGAGAGACTAGCAATGTGGTGAACCCTAGTACATTCTCCCAAGCATCTGCGTCAGCCAGTGTTTGAAAATGCATAAACATCTGCAGATACATATTTACATGTATATGTATATGTCTTTTTACGCGAGAGTGCATATGAAATGCATGCATCGAAGAGGCGTTTGGCTGTGTGCATACCTGGCTGATTCATTGACAACAGTGGTGAATTATGTATGCATACTTATGTGTAATTCACATAGAACTTTTTCTTCGCTTTGCGAATTTGTTTGGACAAAAAAGTTCGATGTACGGTTTTATATGAATACGTTCACAAAAAAAGTTTTCGATGCAAAGCTACGCAAAATGTTGGACAACTCTCATCTTTTTATGCTTTGCCAAGCAACAGTCGAAGCAAAGCGTTCATTGTGGCCTACCTTTGGTTTCTGCGCTTCGTTGTTTCAGTATTAACTGTCACGTAATAGCTATCTGTTGCTCTGACAAATTCACCTCTTTACTCTACAGTGTTGGAAAATGGAATCTTCAAAATGAACTATATCTTTGACTATGGCATAATCGTGGACAATATTGGGCAATTGTTTATATAGATGGTCTATACCATTATATTGGAAAAATATATAAAACTAAATAAATACAGAAAACAGAAGTCTAGCTCATGAGCTCTAAGAAAATTGTTCCAGGCGCTAGACATAAAATCATATGCTAGACGATAAACCGCAGTGTATAGGCTTTTTTCAATACGCGTGATAAGAGCCTTCGCAATCATGTCAAGCAACTCTGCTGAAATATTAGCCAGTTTGGCGTCCATTGACAACTAAGGAGACGAATTCGCGCGAATATACAAGTTATCAGAGCCGTCTACAGCAGCAAAAAGAGAGGAGAGAACCAAAAGCATCACAATGAGGCATCAACGGTGGCAAACTTCTTTTAAGGGACTGATAGATAAACAAAATGGGGATCTTGGTTTCCACCTAAACCAAATATTCAATGGCTATGGGTGCGTTAAAAGCTGTCTTTACAAATTTTGCCTTGACTTTAGTAAGGACCATTTGACGTGAACAGAGTGCAATGAAGACTCTGAACACATAATCTATCATTGTCCTAGATTTTTAAGTATAAAAAAAAAGCTGAAATCCACATTTGACGGTAGCTTCACAATGGAAAATTTGACAGCACTTATGTGAGAGTCCTATGTCAAATGGAAAGTTGTCAGGCGAAGCGGAAAAGACGCCTTCTGATTATCTCACATAATGACCGCTATATAAGGCCAAATTTAAATGGAAGTTCGAAAATAAGAAAACGGGTAAACTATTGTACCGAATTAAGATGAAATTTAAAACTGTGTTATGTGGACAGTAGCCGTGGTTTCCGATTTTTCATTTCCGCACTGTAGCATAAAAACATAAAAATAGTGTTAAGCACCAAATTTATTGGTATTGGTCGAGTAATTCCTGAGATTTAGAGTTTCACCTTCTTTCATCAAAGTGGGAGGAGCCACTACAATTGTTCAATTACAAACAACCATTAGGTGTTCAGAACTATTATACTCTGTGGCAACATGTTGCAAGAATATAATAATAAAAATAATAGACCCAACGATTAACCCCCTCTCGATCAAAAGATGTTGCATTTTACGTCAAGATCTTAAATTGAAAGCGTACAAAATATAGCTTGTATATAGCTTTGGTCTTAAAAAGTTCCAAGAAAATCCGACGTTTTCAAGTCAAACTTTGTTCAACGATGAGACCCATTTCTGGCTCAATGGATATGTAAACAAGAAAAATTGCGGATTTGGGACGAAGAGCAACCTGAAGAGATTCAAGAGTTGAAATTTCATCCAGAAAAAACAACGGTTTGATGTGGTTTGTGTGCCGGTGGAATCATCGGCCCATTCGTCTAATTTGACCTAGCAAAGCTTGCAATTTTCAAAATTGTTTTAAGCGCTATATCTTTATACTTTATACTTTTTGCTTCTTGTTTATTTTTTATATACACCCTCAACATGTTGTACAGAGTATAATTGTTTTGTCAAATAATCAATATGTAATTAATGGGCCGATGATTCCACCGGCACACAAACCACATCAAACCGTTGTTTTTTCTGGATGAAATTTCAACTCTTGAATCTCTTCAGGTTGCTCTTCGTCCCAAATCCGCAATTTTTCTTGTTTACATATCCATTGAGCCAGAAATGGGTCTCATCGTTGAACAAAGTTTGACTTGAAAACGTCGGATTTTCTTGGAACTTTTTAAGACCAAAGCTATATACAAGCTATATTTTGTACGCTTTCAATTTAAGATCTTGACGTAAAATGCAACATCTTTTGATCGAGAGGGGGTTAATCGTTGGGTCTATTATTTTTATTATTATATTCTTGCAACATGTTGCCACAGAGTATAATAGTTCTGAACACCTAATGGTTGTTTGTAATTGAACAATTGTAGTGGCTCCTCCCACTTTGATGAAAGAAGGTGAAACTCTAAATCTCAGGAATTACTCGACCAATACCAATAAATTTGGTGCTTAACATTATTTTTATGTTTTTATGCTACAGTGCGGAAATGACGGAAATAAACGCTATATCCGTTCAGATCAGAAACTACATCAAAAGAAAATTTTCAATTTTTATAATATTATCGTTTAGGTATTTGTATTTATTTCGCAATACATCAAAGTTGGTATTAAATTTTGCTTGATCAGAGAAGTAGAAAACACAACAACTAACGAAACTTATATGCATAACACATAAATCGATATTTTGAGATGTATGTTCTCCTGTATGAAATTAAAAATGCATTTATAACTTTTGAAATGAAAGAGCATTACTTGATCTCAACACAAAACACTAGAGACCAATCAAATTGAGAATAAGAGCAGTAGGTTGTAGATTATTGTCACCACATTATTCATTCAAGAAGCGAAAACATCCGTTTGGAGAATAAGAGCAATAAGTTGTAGATTATTGTCACCACATTATTCATTGAAGAAGCAAAAACAACCGTTAGGTCTCTCAATACAAACGTTAGGATTCTGTAATGAATAGTCAATCAAAGCTAATTTATTTCAATAATTTGATAGGTATCTAAGTACGTATGTATTTATACACGTTTGCGTGATCCTATACTCATACATATGTATATGAGTTCATGAATGTGCTTAACTAAAAGTATTTGCACTGTGATTCGAGAAGTTGCCAACTGCGGAGAGAGCGCTTTACCACGTGTTTCATCCAAGGATTTTTTTCTAGTAGAACGAATGACATATTAGATTTATATTAGGAGTACTCAGTTTTAATCACGATTACTAGTTTTAATTTAGAATATTGGGAACATTTTAATGGGCAAACATTTCTGAAAGAGCTCGAATTTTCAGTCAAACACAGAACATCGCGCCAAAAATCCAGCAAAACTGAATGTTTTCACATTACAAGCAATATTTTGTCTTCTACTCTAATAACTAGTGCCGCTTCGACGGTCATTTATAAAGAATTTAAGAACGGCTCCAATTACCACGTAACTATGACAGTTATGCATGAAGCTTTCCTAGAATTGCGAAGCGCGTTTCCTGATTTAGACGCTGAGGTGAGGAGCATACTGCTTGCGCGTTCTCAGGAAGGAGCAACTATCTCCGACCTCAAGGGTAAGTTAATTAAATATTTTCTACTTATTTTCATGTTTTACCAATAAAACTGCTCATTTACTTTAAGTATGTTAAGATAGATATGATTTTATATTAAGTTTCCACAAATTTTGTTACATCCCGAACAAAACGTCGGAGAGGGTATGTACATACATATATAACTGATTATCGTGACAAGCTAAGTCGATTTGGCCACTTTCACCCATCTGTCCGTCTGTCTGTCTGTATATACGCGAAATCCCTTTCCTTCGTCGCTCAGTTTTTGAGGTATCGATGTGAAATTGTGCACATGTCCCTTTCTCCTTAAAAAAGCTGCTCCTTTGTCAGAACTGCCGATATCGGACCTATATAGCATATAGCGGTCATACAAACTAATCGGATCAAAATCAGGTCCTTTTGTTGAAAACTTATTTATTTAACGAGATATCTTCACGAAATTTGGCGCAGGTTATTGTTTAAGGTAACTCTCCGAACTTGTTCGGAACGGAACACTATAACATAGGGCTGATATACAACTCAACGATTTAAATAATGTCCTTGTATGGAAAACATTTTTATTTGACGAAATTTCGCAAGGGTTATTGTCTCAGGCAATGGTCACTATAGCATATAGCTGCTATACGAAATGGCCGATTTGTGAATGGCATTATAGCTTTGATGCAACCGAAGTTAACACTTTTTTGTTTTGCTTATTTACACTATATCTCTACTTTTCCGAGATAAAGTAATGAACTTTGTAACTAACCATTAAAATATTGTAGCCAGAAAAAATAATAAATCTGAGGATTTAGATTCCCAGTAAGAACGTTGCTTATAGTTAAGTTTGGTATCGGAATTTAATTTTTTAATGAATTGATTCATGCCCAAATGATAAGATATTATCAAAAGCATAAGGCGTTTTAGACTATGGTAAACCAGTTGATTTTGAGTGTTAAAATAAGTTATTAGTGCTTCTACATGTACATAATATGCATTTCAGAACATGTCCTAGCTTTGTGCCAAAAGGCTTTAATTTCCAAAAGTTTTTGTCGTTTTGTCATACGATTTAACAGTTTTATACACTTTTGGAAAATTTCATTATTTATTTGTTTTTATAGATGATTATCGGAAAAATACAGGTATCGTGTTTCCAATATTTCAAAACATCACCGAGTTCCTTCTCTCAATACCATTTGTGACCGCATTTTGTAATGAAAATGGTAAGCTCATTTTTAATGTTCAACCTTCTGCAAAAACAAAGCACATCTATGATTTAGTACAGCAGCAAAAACCTCAACAGCAAATTCATACTCAAAAACAACAGCAATTTGTTCACTATAACGACCAAAACCGATTCGAACCATTCGTAAACAATATTTCATCTAAGAAAAACAAACGTGATGAATTTTGGTACCGCCACAATAAACAGATTGATTACCGAAATAATAATGAATATATTAATAAGAACAACATTGATAATAATAAAATCAGCGAATCGGTAAAAACTGATGCATTAAAAACTAAGGTGGGTCTGGACAATTTAGCATCATTGCAAACTAACGCTCAAAAAGGTGTTTCTAATTACACTGAGGAAACGGGAAGCAATAATTATTATCAAGACAACTGTAACCATCTGTAAGTATGATTCACTAATATCTTTCCACACACTATATAAGATCTGAATTTAATATAAGGATGAAGACGGTATATTTAGAACAAGTTGATTAATCCACCATTTGTGGGAAGCAAATGGCTAACAGTGTAGATACCCTTTCACCTATTTGTTCTTAACAAGGTTCATCTGCCGCAATCGTAAGAGTCCAATACTAAATAATAGATTACACTCGGTTAGACTACAAATCCTGACAGACGTCATTAGTCAAAGTTGTGAGTGGGGTAGATGGTGTAGAAAAACCAAGGCACTCTCTTCCCAATTGCGATAGGCTCAATGCGCTTCGTCGTTGGGTCTTTTATTTCATAATTAGGAGTTCTCGTCAACACTCCGTCAGATGTATCAGCCCCCTAACCTAATCCAAGTTATTAAACTTTTTTTACTCCGACGATAAAAAGATAGATGGCGTAGCCGATTGCCGATCTTAAATATGATATGTTTATGCTACGTGACATGCCGTTCATTAAACCTGCAATAGAGTAATTGTGTCTAAAAATGTTCTCCATATATTGAAAAATCTAAATTTTTTAGGTATTTTGGGACACATATTGTTATTATACAATAAATGGAGGGTACTATAAGTTGTAAGATCCCGCGAAAGCACTTCTCAAGTCAGACAATCCGTTAAAGGCTAAATTGAATATATGTATATATAAAAGAATAAAGAATACTATTGAAAGCACTAAAAAGTCATTGAGCCTATTTTTTTCAATCATCGGCTGGAAAAGTTATTTGAATTATGTAAAAAATCGCATATTCAGTTTAGTTACCTGTTTAATGGCACACATTAAACAAATTTATTTTTTCTGTACCGATTATAACTAATTAGATTCACAAATTTTTGCTAGTTTCAATAGATTATGCAACCAACCGAAAATGGCGTCACAGAATCTCGGACACAACTTCAATAACATTCATTATTCAAATTTGAATAGTCGGCTTACGAAACCGCAACCAACACATTTACAAGCAAAAGCAATAAATCAAACATTTCAATTTAGATCAATTCAACAACAGAACTATTTGAATATGAATATACGGGAGAAGCAGCCTAATCCATTCAAACAACCAATGGCTAAATACATACTTCCAAGTACGAGTCGACCCACCTCACCATCGTGTACCAAGAGCAGTCGATATAATGATTCAATCTATACGACAGATTCAGACTATGAGGCACACCTCTTGGACTTCCCCTTGTTGGGCGATGATTTTTTTCTGTTTTTGGCGCGAATGGAATTAAGGTGCAAATTCAAAAAATGTAAGTTTAACAAAAATTATACCCTAACTGCATGTCTTAAATGTTATCTAGTAATAGTCGTCCATATTGACCAACTATTATTATCCCTTGAAAGGTGACAATAAATGTATAAAAATACATTTTGGTACAACTTTATTACAGCATTCATAATATATTTATATATAATATTATAAATATAACTAATTCCGGTTACCATAAGATATTGCCGAAACTTTAACTTCATATGAAATGTTGCAAATAAATTTAATGTTCATTATTCGGCGAAACCGTGAATGGATTACAATCATACTTGGTATCTTATTAACTTATATTATAGGTCATAGACTCACTTCGCTTCTTTACAATATTTTTTACCATACCTTTGTACGAGGTCACTATTAGTGCAAAATTTTATTTCGATTCATTGGTGCTGATTTCACTTTTTCTCATCTGGTGCATTTTATAATGGTGTTATATTGGAACTAGGCGTGGTGGCTGGGATTAGAATAGCATCCCCCGAATTTGGGGTTAATATGGGTATGGACGGATAGAGGTAGTTATCCAGATTAAAAAAATATATAAATATATGGCTTTTGAGATATTTGCAATTTAAGTTCAAAAATTCAACAATTTGAAGAACGTGTTTCTTGCATATACATACTTGTATATAATGAATTTTCAATTATGTATATGTCCCTTGGATGAAGTCGAAGAAGAAAATGCTTCCAGCAAGTTTGGTTGATCTATAATAATAATAAGCAACGATTACCCTCCTCCTGCCCAACCGACGCGAGGGACGCAATCCTCATACGTGCGGAATTAGCCGGTCAGACAGTCAAGAGATTTTTTAAGTGTTGAGATCTAAAACTGCTCAGCTACAGATTCAAAAAGTTCAACAGCTAAGATTTATAGTTGCGAAATAATAAATTGTTACATTTTTCTTTATTAAGAGAAAACAATAAATTATTTTTAATTTTGAAAAGTGAGTCAGATAAGTCAATTGTGCTGTGGAATGAGAATTAAAATCATGACATATTTATACGGCGGAATGGTTTGTTTCGTTCGAAATTTGATCTACAGGATTTTAACAGTAAAGGTCTAAACCTCCTCGAAAAGCGAATCGGGATATTAAATTTAATTTCAGATAGGAGAAAAGAACTGCAAACTGTTCCATTCAATATTTTCACTAAGATTATTATGCCAAGCATTTCCCTACGACTATAAAGTGTAGGTAGATTTATAATTTTAAACGGCTAGTGTATGGAGGTAGACTTACCCTAGAATCCCATCGGAAATGCCCTAAGGCGAAAAGTAAAAATTGTTTTTGAACAGACTCTAACTTGCCAGAATGGATTTGGTAGCTACGGTTCCATACAACAGAGATATGTTAAATTCGAAGCAAATCCTTTCTTGATAACAGAATGCCTGTTTGTCAAAAATTTATTCTGATGAAGAGTTCACATAGCCGCTATATACCTAATACAAAGATTTTCGAACTTCCGGTTAACTTTATACCGTATATATCGGTCAATATGTGATTTATCTTAGTGAAAACGAGAGGGCATATTTTACTAATAACAATGTATCTTTGTTACTAAAATAGACAAAATCGGGTAAAAAGTTGTCCTAGCCCGCTTATAACTAATAATACGATTTTCGAACATCCAGCTGACTTTACTCAGGCAGCATAGTATTAGTATGTGGCATGTTAATAGTTTGTGGTATTACCAAAAATAGATAGAATCAAGTCAATACATCCCTTAGACCCCATATAACTAATATTCAATTTTCAAACTTCCGGATGGCGTTATACCATATATACGAATAATCTATTGTATTACTCCCGTATACGAATATGCTTGAAAATATATGCTCAAGTATACGTTGCCGTTCTTTCTCTGCCCCCAATATAGCATAACCATATAAAGATTGCCGACATTCTCCGTAACTTTAAACCGTACAGGTTGGCCAATGTGTGATATTTGAATGAAATTAAATGGACAAGTTTCTTTATTATGTGGTTTACCACTGAATATGAATGGAATTGGTCTAAACCTTGATCTAAGCTTCATATCCGTAATATAAAGAATTTCGATACTCTGATTGATGTTTTCCATATGAACTTAATATACAATATTTCATTTAGCCTCTTCGGTAAGATTTATATAACATTTGTTTCATTTGAAGAGGATTTTAATATAATTTGGCTTACGCTAATAAAATATAGCAATAAAACTAAGTGTGTATATGACCTACAATATCACATAATAAAATACCAAACTTGATCCATTCACGATTCGCCGAATAATGAATATAGAATTCTTTCGCAAATTTTTTTAATGAAAGTTTTTCCAACACTTTTCACCGGTTTTGATGCTTGCAAGTTGCAAGAGTATAAAATTTTCGGTTACACCCAAACTTAGCCCTTTTTACTTCTTAATTTATGTTAAATTATTCATAGATGACAAAGTACTGCAGAGTGGACTTTGCGTATCCGGACAAACTATTTGCGGTGCAATTAGGAGAGTTCGACAATTAGAAGATCAGTGTAAGAGTGTTATTGTTAACATTGGATCTGTGGATATAATGAAAGGTCGTCCTTTGGTGCAAATAGAACATGATTTTCGCGAGCTTATCAACTTAATGTTCAAAAAAGGATTTACACCAATTCTAACGACACTGGCTCCCCTTGCAAATTTTGCACACGATGAAATTACTAAAACTAAATTGGAGCGCTTCAACAATTTCATAAAAAAGGAAGGTGAATTCTTATTAGTCATGGACATATGGGCATGCCTAGTAAATGAAAGAGGCCACATACTATTCGATTGTTTTCAGAAGTGAGTAACTACCAATAGAACCAAAACTTGAAAACTTCTAATATATATACAATATTCTTTCTACAGCGAACCAAGAATAGTAACGGGTACCTCAGAGCCGTACGTGTTTTGGAACAAAATTGGTCGACAACGAGTTTTGCAATTAATAGAATCTCAATTGGAGTATTAATATTTTAAATCTGGTCTGAAAAGTTTTACCATAAATTGTGTATTGCATTATTAATTATTTTAAATTGTATTACTGTTTGTCTAGAAACGTTATTGATTGTTAATATTATAGGGGCGTCGATTTTTGTTAGATATAACCTAAATTTATTTATTTCAAAGTAATTATTATTATAAAAATGCAAATACTTTGATTATTTGTATTGCACATATCAAACGAAATATGTATTTGTTTGTTGGCGGGCTTTAAAAATTTTATTCAGATATATATGTATCAGTGCACAATATATATTGGCGAATAAAGTTTTTGAGGAATGATATTCTAAACCTAACACGTTATTGCGCTGAAAATGTAACAATTTAGCTTCTACAAAATCAATACCGGTGTTGATTTGTCGACAATTGTAGAAGCTAAAGCATTTTCCACATAATGACATTTGTAAATGTTTTATTTAAGTTTAAATATTGTATGATTTAAATGTGATTGATTAATTGATAAGGAAAATAAGAACGAGCCACAACATTTTATTAACTCTAAGAATAATAATATGCCACCCAATTGCACTTCAACCTCTTTACAAATGTATGTACTTGTCCGCAAATGTAAAGGTGTGGTTGTGCAATTGCACTTTAAGCGCAACACAGATATGTTGCTTAGTAAATACTAATAAAATAACTATATTTCTTAAGTAAATGTATTTAGTCAATGTATGAATTACTTTAAAGCAAAGTGTTGAGATTATATGGTAATTACAATAACAGAAACACAAGTAAATAAAAGAAAAAACTGTAATAAAACTAATACTAAAAAGAATCATTATAATGTTGTAGCTACTTGGACTTCAAAATTTTCTAAAAACCGTGTACCATATATTAAAAACTTGCTGATTGTTCTTGACATTCATTTGAAAAATTAATCTCGTTAATTAAGAAATTGTTAATTGGTAGTGATTTTGCAAATCTACAGCTGTTGCCAAATATGTTAATTGGTAATAAAAATTCTGTCTTTGCATTTTTGCGCTCTGCATCTATCACTATCACAGGTGAGAGAATGGTACATTTTCGCTAACTATGCCTTCTGTCGACATTTCTTTGGAAACGTGTACCTCAAGTTTTACACCTGCCATACGCTAGCCAATTGTTGCAATGCTGAATTCTGATATGACGTATCTGACTGTTGACACACAGTTAAATTGTTCTAAATAGATGGTATTTGGTGTACTAAATCATTTCCAAAGGTACAATACAACTGTCTCGTAAAAAGAGACAAAGCAATTCGTATGCCAAACACTATTGGCGATGGTCCAGATGATAGAAAATATGTAAGACGGCCGTAAGTTGCAGAGTTCCTTCCCAAATAAAAAACACACAGCACGTCTTACACAATTTTTCTTTGAGCAAAATTCTGTAAGCATTCTTGACTGGCCATCGTACAATCCAGATCTCAATCCCATTAAGCATTTATGAAATGATGTCAAAAAAGTTTTATCTCAAAACATAACCGATTTCGAAATGCTTTATAAAAAAATTAAAAAAAGCTTGGTATGCCATACCTGTTGAAAGGTGCAGACTTCTCATATCGTCACTGATTCCGCCGTGTGGTGCCGTATTACAAAAAATTTATAATCCAGTGATCGAACTCAAGAGTGAGTCATAGATAGACGATTTATCGAGAAATCTGTTACACTACTATAATAGGGGCTGATAGCATTCGATAATATACACAATTGTCTTTGAGCTAGACGCTATTCTGTTGTCGAATGGTAGCTGTACTTGAGCTTGTTATTACGCATCTATAATAGGAGTGTTTGATTTGAAAGTGTAATAGAAAGCGTAGAGCATGGATCATCTTTGAAATCAAGGAGTTACTAACATGTTATTTGGCGCGAAAAGAAGCTTTTCTCCTTCTGCGGTTTCGTTATTACGATATCCAACTCAATTGCAACTCGGTTAAAGTATTGTCGAATTTCAACATTTTTGTAGTATTTTGTAGTTTATAATAATTTTAAAATACATAGAAAAAACGGTTAATGTTTAGTTTAGAACCCCAACGAAGGTCCCCCGCAAATATTATATTAATATTCAAAAAAATGATTTCTACAAGAAAAGCAAACACATTTTACACATGTTTTTTCGCGTCAAACTCCCTTCAGCACGCAAAAGAACTATGGACACACCGGTTTTGAACCGATGAGGGTTTTTTTTTTATTCGCGGCCGTAGGGCCTTGGTTCGGAGACCTAAATATACATTTACGAAAAAACAAGTTTATAAGATATTGGAGAACTTGTTGAGCTCGTGAAGAAAAATCCGAAACGACGAGGCAATCAACAAAATGTTTGGTATGTAAACCCAGTTTGACAATCCGTCTTCAACATTCCACACCAGTTAAAAATAGTTTGGTTGATCGGAGAATGAATTGCTTTAACTTCAAGTCAACTAAACGAAGTTACAAACCGTAAATGGAGCAATAATTACAAAAATATGTCTAAATATATATCAAATTTAACCAATTTTCATATCTATTTTATTTGAAAATGAAGCATGCATTTTTAAATCTTAACATAACTTTCCGAAATCTAAAAAGCCTAACATTTAATAGCCTTCGTCGGATATTTCAATGTTATATTGTGGAAATTTATCCAGCAAAATTCTCCTAGTTTCCGCATGGTCCGCCTTCCCAAAGCCCTGCAAATAAATAATTTTTAATATATTTTTTTTATTTATACAAGTGTTACAACCTGGGAATAGCCATACACCTTTATTAACTTCAAGTTCGGATTATGCTCAATGCGACCACCGCCAAGACATTCTGTTTCTAACCCTAATCCTTTACAGGATTCGCTGGTTCGGTCGTAGATATCGGCTTAACAAAGAATCAACATACACATATACTTATTTACTGAATAACTAGATCCGTACACATAAGCCAAACTATTTCAAATCTTACAATGCCACTGACAGTCCGCAAATCCTCTTACAATATTTTTATTTGAAGATTCATCTTTTCCGTACACTTTTATTAATACATATTTGAAGACTCCTTCCTCAATATTTACACTTGGAACTGCTTTTAATTTTGCATCAGCCATTTCACAAAACTTTCGAAAACCTTAAATGAATTCATGAATTAGAGAATACAACGCAAGAAAAACATCTTACTTAATCTAATCGACGAGCCGTACATTCCGAATTGGGAATGATAGTTCTTTATCGTTAGCATGTTTACAATTTAAAGTCGATACGAAAATCTTTTTATAGAATATTGTGACGAGCAGAGATGATAGAACAAAATGGAACCGACGATAAATTGCCAGAAACAACTAGCTAGCAAATTCGTAGTTGCCAGAATGTTCTAGTCGCGAACTTTTGTTAAAGATCTACTATAAAAGGTTTGCTAGATTGTTTATTTTGGTGTCGCCAATTGCGTTCACATGAGCGAGACAAGTCTGACAACTTTAGTCAAACAATTTTCTGCATTTTTTCTTCATTTTTGACTACCTAATTTTAATCCACATTCACCGTTTACTAAAATATTTCTGTTATAAAAATTGATAAAAACATTCAAATTTCCGATATAATTAATGTAAATATTTACTTGAAACGGAGAGCTTTGCAACCATGAAACAAATTTCAAAATGAAAAGGAATGTCGAATTTCGAAGCAGCGAACAAGAACACAAAGCGTACCACCCGAGTACGAGTGGCACGGTCCTTCGTTTTTTATCGTCGTCCCCACGTATACAAAAAGCCGGTTTGGACGACAAAAGAGTCCGTGTGTAAACTGGCACTAACAACACTTACAAAACTTCGCCGAACTCGAACATTTACTGTCTAGTTAATTCTTGCAATTTATCGTTGATTCTATTCGCGATATTTATTTATTATACATTGTTTACCATCGACGTTATTGAGTGGTCCTATGAATATGAAATGTTATTCTGATAATGATTTTGAAATTTCAATTAGTAAAATACAAATTGTTAAAAGATGTTGTATTTGTCAGGAGCATTCTTCATCACTTACTTTAGTGGACAAATCATACATTGGAACACCACCTATTTTAACAAGTGATTTACTGCTACAATGTTTTGATTCAATGGATAAATTTCACTTAATACTTGGACAGCAGCCTTCAAATAACTTCATATGTCAGTCATGTGAAAAGCTCCTTGTAGAATTTTATAACGCCATGAAAATAGTTACGATTAAACGAAATAAGTTCCTTAATCGAGTTCAGGATAAAAATAAAGCAACAGATGGAGTAGAATACTTTGTAATTATTGAATCTCCAAAAATAAATGCAAACTCGCATCACCCAACAACAAACCATGTAAAGGATCATGAACCAAATTCACATCCTTCAGAAGACGAGTTTGTTACAATTATTGAATCAGATGATGAATATTTTACTTTAAATACCTCAGAAGACGAATTTGTTAAAGTTAATCAACCAGCCGAAGAATTTGAAGATGAATGGTCATCAGATTGTTCAATCAACTCAGACGGTAAAATAAAAGTAAATGTATAGTTTGGGTTTCCCCAACTAAGGAGGCTTCAAAAATGAATTTTTTTTAAATTGTCTGTTACATTTCTTCAGTATTTTTTTTCATAAGAAAATGTTTAGCTCTCTGAACTGGTAATTACAGCTAAGTGATCTGAATCCTGCAGAATTTTGCCGCTCCAACAACAACAACAACTAAGTGACTTAAAAAATATTTGCAAAGTGCGTTAAATATATGTACATATACAGAAATTATTGAAAAAACACGTTCCGCATTTGTAATTTTCGCGTAAAAAAAGACGATTTAAAAAAAATAATAATAATTTTGAGGCCTGAGTGGGAGTCCATAAACTATACATTTACCAAAATAAGCATTAATTTAGTAAGTAATTATCATTAATTTTAATTTCTTTAATAGCTCAAGAAACTCCAGGACAAATGCGAAAATCATTGATTACTATTGAACGTATGCCAAAAACAAAGCTTAGATTTTGTTGGCGTTGTGATAAAAACTTTACATCGGATGATGCTTTTGAAATTCATTTGAAACTAGCTCACACGAAAGGTAAAAAAACTGTTTACTCGTGCCAACAATGTCAAAAAAGTTTTGCATCCGAAGACGAACATAATGCACATTTGTCCGAAGTTCATTATTCTGATCAGTTACGTTGTAAAATTTGTGGTGCTACGTTTGACTCATCCGTACATTTGAATGCACATAAAATGGCCCACGAGAAGTTTAAGTGTTCTATATGTTTAAAAATGATGTTAACTCATAGAATGCTTCAACGTCATATGTTGGTACATCGTATGGACAAAAAACACCAATGTTCAGAATGCGACAACATATATACATCAAAGAAGTTTCTACAAAAGCACATGTTGGTTCATAAAGATGCTCGAAGCTTCGTATGTCAGGTTTGTGAATTTAAATTTAGGAACGCATGGAATTTAAAACGCCATCAAAAGCTACATTGCCTTGGTGATATAAGTAGGAAGCTTGGAGATATTAGAGCGCATACTTAAGTTTTTAATATTAAAAATTGTTACATTTTTTATAATAAACTTGGTCAAACAAAATAAAAAACTAAAAACAAACAATTGATCTAATTTGTACGTAAGTGTATTATATAGGCAGACAGTAACATACTCGTTCCCAAAGTGGAGTAACCTTGTTACACCAGAATTCATGTTCAACCTCAACCCCTAGAGTTAATAAATTTACTTTGGGCTTTCAAATGTCTAAAATCGTATCAAACAAAATTTGTCAAAAGTTAGTTAGTTTAAGGATATTTCAAATATATTCAATTTTATTTCTTAATTACTACAAAATATCGAGACTGGCGTTGCAAGAGAGCAATCAGCTGACTTGTGTCTACGGGAAAAATCCAATACTCACGTATATCCTACCGTATGGACTGTAAGCGGTGTTCATTTACATTGCGCTCTTATAAGCATGGATAACATGATACGAAACTCTTTGAATCGAGAGAGCGCTATCAAAGTTCGATTTTTTTTATAACATTTGACAGTGGTGCCGCTTAGGAAAGAAATAAGTTTTGAGATTTTTTAATGTATTTCTTGATTATTTTTACTTGGTACTGCTAAGCAAAACAATACTCTGCGGCAAAACACCCGCTCTTTCTTAAAAACAAAACTATAATTAATCTCTTTAAATGAAGATTAAAAACATACGTAAAAGTCACTAAAAAATCTGATCTCACAAATAACCCACTGATTTGACAATTTGTTTCTGCTTTATTTTAGTTTTGGTTGTCATCTGTTCAGTAGCTCATGAACTTTCAGTGCTGCCAAAAAACCATGAGATCATGCGCTCTCTCAGAAAGCAAAGAGAGAAGTTTCGAATCATATTATCCATGCTCATAAGATAGGTCGTATCAGCTAATTCGGTCTACTGTTTTGCGGCGGTAACTGTTTCCAGCATTATACACAAAATAGGAAGTGATGTTCATGATGAATATAATTTTTTTTTTTCTTGGCAGTATCGACAAGGATGACGTATCGAAGATTGATCAGATTGAGAGTTCCCTAGTGATTTAATATATGATTCAATAAAATATCATTATAACGTTATAAAATTATCAAATCGTCTACCATATTTTGTTAAATTAAAGATACATTTCAGGCCCAACGTAGCCTGTGTGAGTGAATGTCAGGTATATTCTCTACAATGGATGGTTGTCCGAGGCTACAAAAGGCATGTTTCTTTCGGAAATTGGGTAAGTAACAGAGATGGTTGCTGCATTCAAATTTTCCAAATCAATCACCACTCGCGGATAAATCGAAGTCATTTGCTACATAGAAACCATTTCAGTATAACTTTTGATACATATGTTGATGTAATCGATATTTTCATTTCAACAGAGATATTCGTCTATACAACTCGAATTCGGCGGAACCAACACTTTCAAATAATATACATTCGTATCTTATCAATGCAGGACTGCCAGTTTTTATGGACAGGCTTTGTAATTATTGTCTAGTAATGCTGATAAAAATGCCTACATAAATTAGATATGCGTATTTATTTGCGGACATGGAAATGAACTCAGTTCCCAGTTATGTTAAATTATATTTCTTTATCTTTATTTATTTGTATTTTTTCAAACAAAGTTTTCGATGACACTCGACATTTTTTTTTACCGTTACTTAAAAAAATATCGTAATTCTTCAATTTTTACTTGTGAGTCAGTTGTATAGCCTATCCACTAATAAATTTATAGAAGAATGAATATGTATCTTATTTTAAATGATGCACACTTAATAATTTATTTATGTTCACAGAAAGATAACCTAATATGACAATTAGCATTCCAAAAGTGTATAGATCGCGAAGCTTTTGGAAATGCATATGTGAATGTGAGCATATGTAGGCTTTTTTGTGGTTATAAGCAAAAGTTACATGTGATGATCACACGCACACATGTGCACTTTCATACTTATGAATCAACATGAGTAAAACATATTCATAACAAATTAAAATTCTACAAAAATTACGTTATGAAATAGTTTTAGACGATATAAAATTTAAGAAAGCAAAATCTACTAAAAAACTCTTATAAAATACTTTTGATTTTCGTGATCGAGAACAATATTTAGTGCTGCAAAAACAGGCAGCGCTTTATATGTAAACAATATATATTGCAGGCAGTCCATAAAAGCACATTTCAATAAATTTTTTTCGGTCAGCTTTCTTAGAGAAAATCTATAAACAATGTACATATTACGCAAATTTAAAACAAATAAATTCGCAGATTGGAAGAGTTGGCGAGAACAAAATATATATACTTATAGTATTTTATAAAAAAATACATAAATCGAAATATCTACTCGTAAATACATACTGTTATGCTTTTATAAAAATCTAAAAATATTGTTTTTACAAAACTCGATTTTTGTGTGATTTTCTCAATTATCTCTAAGTACTAAATACATTTTTTAATGTAACATTTTGTTTCGTCAACCTTCATTTACGCTTTTATTATCCCAATAACTATTCTTTAGGAGTTACTAATTGCTGCTTTTCTTGTTTCGTTGCAGTTATTTTTTAATCTCGCTGTTTATTATTGTGAGTCGCTAAGATACTAGTCTAAATCTAATCGGATGGTTTCACTAGGCCCATCACTTTGCCTTCAAATAGTGGCAAAATATCACTGTCATTCACGATCTCTTCCTGAATCACTGGACTTTCTGGATCTTCGCAATGTGTTTTGAAAAAAAACCTACAATGTCAGTTCAAGAAGGATTTCATTTTAATATATGAATGCGTAATTAAAGTATACAAGTTTACTCACCTAAAATTGCCCTTTTTCGGCAAGTAGTCTTTAAATTGCTTCAGGGTGGGTTGCGAACCGGGAATTTTCGATCTGTAAGGATATTCTTCGTCACAGAATGAGAATACGACAGTCGTGGTCTCTAGTGGTTTTGCGGGTAGAGGTGGCGGTTGCGGCTGGTGATGTAAACTACTGCTGCCACTGCTACTGCTGCTGAATGATGGTTGTTGCAGAGATGGCTGTATATGTTGTTGAGTATAGCGACGAGACCTTCTGGTCTCGTCTTCCAGTCTTCTTTTTGCCTCTTCTGATTTAGAGGCCGTACTTGAACCAGACCGTGAACTTAATTCAAATTGAAAATGGGTTATTAAACCAAAATTTTTTTTATTACATTCTTATTTCACCTGGTGTCTTTGTACTTCATAAGAGTATCGGCTGAGAACAGACTGATTCCACTATCTGTATTGACGGAAGGCCACTTATTTGTTAGCTTCCTGGAGGAGGAACTGTGATCCGGCATGGATTTGGAGTGTTTCATAGAATGTCCCCCTAATAAAAAATTAATATTTCGTTGTTGTAAGATGCAGTGTGTCCGTTTTTTTTTTCTAAATAGTGTGCTTGAGACTTCTAATTACCTATACTCATAGCTCCGTCACTTAGCATTCCTGAATCGTGTGTTATGGTGCGACGTCGAGTGGGAAGAGGCGGGCATGGTGACATGGTACCAGGCGAACGGTGAGGGGTTTGATCCTTCCACACTCTTGATACATGCTGATCGAGTATATCTTGGTCATTGTCCTCCTCTAACGCAAATTTTTCGCGGATCGCGTCTGCAAAAGCGCGATCGCTGGCAAGCCTTTCATTTGTCGGCATTGAATCATCTGTAAAACGCTGGAAAGAGTACGAAGTAATATCTAATATTATTTAATACCGTAATAACAATTGTTTATACATACATCAAATTTAGCTCTATCCTCAATGTCTTGCTTTCGTTTCACTTCTTCCAATTTCGGAATCAGTAATGCAATTAGCTCAGCCTCTTTCAGAGGACGATGTTCGTTCGAATGGAGGCGCTGCGTTCGAGGGATAACCTAAGTAATTTAAAAATAAATATATAGCATATATTTTGACGTCAAAATGATTCATGTAATACAAACTTGAAACGTGTTAGTCTCTTTGTTGGCCATAGCACTTTGACGTATCGCTTTGCTTTCATTTGAACTATGTCTTCTTTGAATATAAGGTCGACCATCCCTGAAATGTAGAAAATATATCTGCATGTATTTAATCAATTTAAAGCACAGGATTATTTAGAACATAATAGAATTGCATATTACGACCACACTCTCAGGCACATCATAAAGTTAGACATGTAATATATTTGCATACTATGTACGTATTTTAGAAAATATGAATCTTATTTATGAATATTTTACCAGACTTAGGATATATGTATACTTACATAGAACAACTAGATAGAGACATTGTATCGGAATCAGTTCGACCACCGGAACTTACGCTGGCTCTTTCCGAATCCACACGCGAATTCGGAACATAAGAAGTATTCGCGGCCGCAGGATACACATAACCATGAGCACTATTCGCATGCAAAGATAATGTCATATCCATGCAATATTTCCATTTACATCATGTACAAATCATATATAGTATAAATACAATAAAATTATTAAACCATAATATGTCGGGACCGAGATAACGTCAGTAGAGCAAACAGATACATCGTCATGAGTACAGTCGTAGAACAAAAGGAGGCATGCCAAATGAAGTGTTTGGTTGTATGATTCATTGATAGGTTGTTTGGTTGTGTGATGTAACATTTGTGGGTTATAAGTCATGATGATAAAAATGAAAATAAATATATAAATATAAAAAAACCATAAATAAAATGACATTTTTTTAATGTTCTATAATACATATAATTCTTTCCATGCAATTTTACTTTTATGTAACGTTATGTTCATTAATTTAACGATTTTATTTTAAACTAAATATTGGTTGATAAATTGTGTTTCGTTAAAAAAAAAATATTTTGCACATAGTAAGTTTTTTAAATTTATAAATGATTTTTTTTAAACATCGATTCAGAAATAAACAACCATGCCACAATAAAAACGTAAAATATTTTTGCTAAAAATCGAATTTATATATAAATTTCTTTATGAGGACCAATTTAAAAGTCAATCCAAGCAAAACTTCTAGAGACTTGTATTCGGACAGTGCAACTTTTTATAATTAAAAACGCAAATATTATTAATTCTAATTCTAATGAATAATACAGATTTAAAAAATTCGCGTAAACTATTATTAAGTGCATATTCACAATAAAAAGTGAATATTACGTATTTTCTGTAAAATGAATCAACGAATATACTTATATGCAATAAAAGTTTTAAAATTACCCCGGAGGCCGTATTTCCAGTCTTCTCTTCTGAGTTGCTAGTAGTAAGTCGTGGGTAAGACGTATAGGCATATCGGCTGACTTACGACCACCTTCAACACGCAGTTTCTCGAAATCGTCACAAAGAGATAATTCGGAATCTTCATGCAGTGTAGGTAGTGTAGAGCTGCGCGGAAGAGTATCAGTTGCACTAATAGAGCCACTGGAACTAGCAGATGTTGAAGGACCATACACGCTACCACTTGCGCTGCAAGCACCGCCAAGCGATATAATTCCACCCGAAGTGTTCATAGGCAGGTTAATAAAAGGTGCTACCGAAGAGCAAGTCACTTTTCCATAACTGGTGGGCAACGCGCAAGCTCCTCCTGTTGGGGCAGCAATTCCTGCTCCACTACTACCACAACTGGCACCACTACTACTTCCGCTGCCGGAACCAGCGGCCCCAATCCCAAATCGTTCATGCGAAACAGACATTTGCTGAATATACAAAATGTACATTTCCGAACAAAGGAAGCTGGGATAAATGTTGTCACGTATGGTGACCTCCACATATTGCTGCATTGAATCGTATATGTTAGAATTGAGTGGGACTTCATTTTTAAGACCTGCTTTTATTATTCGACGCAAGTCTTCAGGTATTGATAGTTGACTTTTTCGTAAAAACCTTTTCAATACAAAATGTTAGGTAACATTTACATAAAATTAAAATATAACATTACCGATATATCGCTCCTATAATTTGTTTAATTTTTTCGGGGTCTGTTTGCTGTTTTAGACCTTCACAGGCAAAATAAAAGTTTAAATGATCATTATAACCTGGTGCTTCGTCTTCAACATATTTTTTGAAAAGTTCCACTCCATCGCGGTCCTCAAGAAGATGATTAAGTGTTCGAGCCCAATTCAAATATGAAGGTGGTGAATTACGGGTACAGTCAGCCACCCCTTCGGTCATCTGAAGTCCAAATTTTATTAAGTACTTATTTCCCACACAGTTATTTAGAAAGTGTCAGCTTTTAATAAAACTTACCTTTTTAACTCGACTTTCTTCTCCGGGTACTGGTGGTCTAGGCCCACTACACTCATTATCATCATATTTTCGGAATCCTGACGGATGGCTCATGCCACTTTCTGTTTTCTATTTTTCTAGCTACCTTTAAGTTTGACTAGCAAACTACCGTGTTACAAAGTTTCCAATGCCTTCTTCACACTTACAGCGTTAATGAATGTATATTTTCGTCTATACGAACCGTCCGCTATATTCAGAATATAATGGACTTGGAAGATATTTATAATTTTGCGTGCTAATTTTTTTATGGAAGGCAATATGGCAAGGGCTGCAAAAAAAAGCACACATTTTAAATAGGTTTTAAGTTGTGCATTTAATAACGTATTACGAAAAAAAATATTACAATTTAATGGATTCCTTATAAGCTATTTTTTACCCTATACAATTATGGAAATATGTGTTAGTAAATATTTTTATCTATATTTAATTTAATAAATTTTGGTATATTTTGCATGTTGTTACAATATC